GAGAATTATGACCCCAAATGAGAAGATTTAAGCAAGAAACCTCAAAGCCCCAAATTTTTCTTCTTTCTTCCCCCCCTTTTTTTTTCTCTTCTTCTTTCTTTCTTCATCTGTTCTTCCATGCAGCTGCCTTCTCTGGTTCCTTGAGAACAAAGGCAGAGAGGCTTAAGTGGTGGGTTTTGTAATTTTATATATTTTATAGTTTAATTCTTGTATTATTATATTTATGATTAAGTCCTCAGGGTTTACATATAGGTCCTCAGATTTTTTTTTCTTTTTGAACAGATCCTCAAATCTTATGAATAAGTCCTCATATTTATACTTTGGCTCTTTTATCGAATTTAAAATAGATACTTACATTGCAACTAAAAACTTATACGAAAATTTAGAAATAAGGGATGTTACAAGTACCATTGCCTGACACTGTTTGGGAGGCTATGTCTATGCGGTACTATCATATGCTAGATTAACATTAGGCGGTACTACTACTCGGTTTCCTGAAGACGTACTATCTCACAGGCGGTTCCACCGCTTGGGCTAGCTTCAAAACATTGATGTGGGCTTTCAATTGGCCCAATTTAACCTTGATTTAGGCCCAACTATGGATGAAAGAATTGAGATGAAAAAATTACCGTTGGAAAATGTGGATACCAATGAGAATGGATCAGACATGTTGATAAAGTCTTTGCCTAAATAGAAGCTTGAAGCATATAGGGGAAGAACATATTTAATATAACCCACCATATTAGCTAGAAGGGAAGAATTATTAGGTCTAGCCCATAGGTGGGCTTGGACTAATTGATTTAGGCATTGAGCCCAAATTTGATTTATTAAAAAAATAAAAAAAAAAGAAAAAAGGAAGTAGAGACGTGGTGAGAGGCGTGTGAATAGTGAAATAGTGGCGGTGAATAAAAACAGAGGAGAGAAAAAGTTAATATTTTAATATTTTTATCAGATGGTCAAGCTCAACAAGTTTTATAATCTTAATGTACCAATTTACAGTTTGTTATCTATAAGATGCTTGTATGATATATCCAATTAGTAAGACCTAAATCATCCCTTTGATAAAATTTATCAATAGTGATGATAATATGTTATTTTGGAACCTATATTCTTGATATTATTATGAACCTCTAATTATTTAGAGAAGACTTATTGTAAACCTCTTATCATTATTAGTGATAGTAGAGGTTTGAAGTAGACTACGGCCCTATTATTTTTTTCACATTAGGTTTTTTATGGAAAAAATTCATTGTCTCATTTTATAATTGATTCATTGTTCTACTATTTATGCTACTCTAGTTAATATTTACTTTTGTTAACAAGTTAATATTTTGATGCGAAACTCATTTTGATATACAAAGAGAAAAAAAATTTATTTCGTTATAATAATTTTTCTCAACAACTGTTTATAAAAGAAAACATACAAAATCTGTTTATTTTTTTTTCTTTTGATACACGCGTACTGTGATATATATTTAATACTAACCGTCAATGGAAACTTTACAAGCAAAATGAGGATCATTATTCAAGTTGCCTTATCTGTTGGAGAAATTTTGCCTACAATAGAGCAAACCCCCAACAAAGACATTGTCCTCGATGAACATGTTTGGAGTACCTATAATAGATATTGAACTACTAAACAAGCATTCCTACATTCTCCCTTGACTAGTTATCATATTGTTAGCATCAAAGTTGATCGTCGATCCCTAAGTCATGGAGTCGATCCATCTGATCCAATTTTTTTAATTATCCCATCTAAAGATTGAACTCTTAAGATGAATTATAAAATAAAAATTCTTTTGAGTCGAGTCGATTTTCTTGAGATAGATTTTAAGTGTATACCCTATAAAACTTATTTGAAGTGTATACCCTATAAGATATTTCAAACATTTAGATATAGTCAATATTTATAGATGAGTGACTAAAATAATATTTCTTGAATGAAAAATATTTTGAAGAATACATTTTTGACTAGTTGATATGTTATTGCGTCTATGTCTCCATCTTGATTGAGAAAGACTATTAGCCATATAATATGTGATACTACCAACACTTATATCTCATCCATTCCTTGCAGTAGCATGGAACACACATTCGTTCACAATAATTTCTTTCCCAAAATTATTCTTGCAGATGGATTAAGTGGAATCTGAGCTTATAATCCATCCAAATCCAGCGTAGTATGAAGCACTCTACTGATTCATAAAGCATGCACTTATGACTCAAATCATTCAGTTCCAGATTCTGATGAAACCCCCCTTGAATTGTACTAATAAATGTGATAACATCGGTGCCTATCACAGCAAACAGACCACAAGATTCTCATGGGGAAGTTGACTGCAGAGATGTGTGTGCTCCCAATCTCCCATGACTTGAACATTCAATTGACCAAAGTTTAGCTTTCAAGATAGCAAAGCAGCAAACAAAAATATGGGCTGCCTCAGAAATTTCCAGTCTAATTTTGTAAAGAAACCCATCAGTTCATTCAGATGTTGCCTATCAAGATAAATTATAGGGACAATTTTGAAGATGTCCATGTAAAATATCAAAATATCAAACATGGTGTCCTAAATTTTGGAATCTCATGCAGATCCTTTATAAAGCCAAATTTTATCAAGTGTCCATTCTTTTGTCCAAATTATGAAACTGGTATGGATTAGAAGTGACTCCAACTTCAAAAAAAAAAAAAACGAGAGAGACCAACTTATGGTTCTTTAAGATGTTGATCTCTTTAAATATGTCTGGTATGGTGTTCTATTGAAATTATCTGCCCCATATAATTTTCTTTTTCCATAATTAATATTCAAAAATCAAGTTTATGTGAATATAGTATATTCAACAACCATGAAATGTACAAGACAATAAGTAAAAAGCAAATTATAAATTATAAATAAAATAAAATATACATAAAAATCATCACAATAGATATAGAATATGCATATAATTAGAAATAATAATACCTGTATGTGAGCGGGTATAAACCCAAAGGAACGTGAGGAAACCGCGTTGGGCCCCATCCAATAATTCAACCCAAGTTGGTCCAATCGCCGCCCCTGACCCACTTGGAAGTTTCGGCATCCGTGACTTGGAATTGGACGGTTCCGGTTCTCGCGTTTCAATTCGATCATCACATCCCAATCGTCCATGTCCACTGATGACCGGTTCTCATGAATTTAATCTCCAGAAATTGCTATCAGACAAACCGGGCCGGTCCGGCCGAAGCCGAAGCTTCGGCGCTTCACCTTGTGATTATAAATAAATATTTCGTCAATGCGTCCTCGCCCGAAGCGGCGAAGAAATCTTGGTCTCTCGCTCGAGGCCTCCGACTCGGAAAGGACGAGCGAGGAGGATGAGCTACTACAACCAGCAGCCCCCCGTCGGCGTCCCTCCTCCTCAAGGTATATACCATATCTTCCATTTCCAATCCGATGCACGATCGCGGTTTGAGGTGGATTCCTTTTGATGACGGTGATGGTGGTGGTGGTGATTAGGATATCCGCCGGAGGGATACGCCAAGGGCACGTATGCGCCGCCCGGGTACCCACCGCAGGGCTACCCGCCGCAGAGCTATCCGCCGCCCGGTTACCCGCCGCAGGGCTACCCGCCGCAGGGCTACCCTCCGCCCTACGCCCAGGCGCCGCCACCGCCGCCCCAGAAGCAGAGCAGCGGCCCCTCCTTCGTCGAGGGATGGTAACGGATTACCCTATTCCCTCCCTCTCTCTTTCGCTCTCATCTCTCCCTGCCCGGATCTGGCTTTCGTCCTCCGGGGGCCGGAGGTCCAGGCCGTGGATCGGCTTCGTCTCGGCGGCAGCTCGGCCGTTGGTGCACGATAGTGGGTCCCCCGTTATCGTGCGCCGCTGGACGGTGCGGCCGGTGGAAGTCGTGAGTGGTGACTTGCCAACCACCTTCACGCTGATTACGACCTTCACGTTACTGACGTCTTTTCTTTTTCCTATAGTTATTTGGTTGCTGTAACCGTCTTTAATATCACTAATTTTGCATTATAAATATATATAATATAATTTAATTGACCATGAGTTACAAATACAATAAGTCGTAGAAATCACAATTATTCTCCTAGGTTTTTGCAGCTACTTATGCTGTCATGACATATACATATTGTATTTGGACTTTATAATTGGTGGCAAAAATCTTATTTCTGTCCTCCTGATTACACATTCGTCGACGCAATTAAGAGAAAATACTTCAATGGGCACTGAAATTTTTTTTAATTTGTTTTTCGATATTAGAGAGGTATATCTGATAAAAAAAAAAAACCTTGTTCACATGGATGGCTTCAACAATATTTTTTTTTTTTGTTTCTATGTTTACAGCCTGGCTGCTCTTTGCTGCTGCTGCCTTCTGGAAGCTTGCTTCTGAGAGGGGCTTCGAAAAATTTGGGCAATATGGTCTGATTTAAGGAGATTGGTTGACGCAATAACTAGTTTGCATTTGCAAAGAATCCTGTATACAATGATTTGCCTTTTTCTTTGTATTCTTCTTTCTTGTATGTTTGTTATAAGAAATCTAGAATTGAGTGTGCTACGCTTGTTTTACATTTGAATTACATGATCTCCTGTTATGTAATGGAACATGAAGCATTAAGTGCTCTTTGCTGCGATTTGGAGTTGGTATCTACTCTTAGTTGTTTTGTTGTGAGATCTTTATTAGTAGTACGAGCTCATTGGACATTAAAATTGCTTGCAGGATTAGCAATCCGAAAGATGCACACAGAATTCGATAGTATTCTTGTTCAAATATTTTGATTGCCCGGTAGACCTTGAATTGTTGCTATTTTGTGGTATTTACTATTTAGACTGGAATTGCTTTGCGGTGATTACGTCTCCCCTTTTTTTATCACTTGTAGAATTCTCAGAGACTTCATACCTTGATACAACAAATGGTATCCGATCATCTCACTCCAGGACTTGAGAAACATTGAGATTGATTTGCTTTTCATATGTATGATAAATTATGTTTACTATAGTTATTATACTTTGAAATATTTTTTTATGTTGTTTATTGTTTTCACTACCTATATCACATTGTATTACATTTTGTATCATTTTATCGTATACTATATGACTTTATATAAGTTAATCTAGTAGTATAAATTATTTTATATAATAATATATGATTTTATGATGTTATTTTTTTCAAAATGAGTAGAGAAGATTGGATTTGATTTTGAACTTTACCATTAACTATCAACATCTTTACAAGCTAATTCAGTTAAATTTGTATAGATATATATTTTTTATCAAAAAAAATTATTATATTTCACTTAATGCAATAATATATATATATATATATATATATATATATATATATATATATATTCTTGTAAAATTATAAACATAAAAAACTTGCATACAATTATTATTTAAAATTCTAATCGATGTTGATATTTTTTAAAACATTAAGCATTGAGGACAGTTTTATGATATAATTATAATATAGTTTTATAATATTATAACTGAGTAGTATAATCTCGATGCATTGAGAAACAAATAAAAGAAAGGCTGCAGTTTGATCTAAAATTGTACAATTAGGAGAATAAACACTGTGTGAATCTAATTGATGAACATTCTGTTGAGGTCCACTGCAGCCTTTGGGCTTCAATATGCCATAGTTGTTTTTTTAACTAATTTTGGAATTCTAGGGAGGGAAGATGACAGACTTACAGTGGAGGTTACATCACCTTCTTGATTGTCTCACCATCCTCTTAAACATTTTTTTGTCATTCTCTTGGTTTTGCAATAATATCCTAATGTCTCCATGCAAGACCTAAGGATTAAATGTATGATGATGATGGTAGATATCAGAAGCATGTTCAAAATATAATAATCTGTGGTACCTGAAATGGATTTTCATGCCTGCATGCTTAATAAGTGCATGTTTTAAGCCACATTTCCTGATACAATAAAATGTACTCCATAACTGCAAAAGTCAATCTTGGAAAATGGACATTTTAACGCATGCCAATGAATTACTCTCTATATATGTATTCAAATGTCTTGAATACCTAATTGATTGAATGTTAAGCAACATCTGCTGTTGTAATCGGAGAAAGTCTAGCATCTTGTGAATTTTTTATGCTTGGTTTCTTGTTAAATTCTTTCAGAAGCTCACTTTTTTTTTTGTTAACGTACGATGTTGAATTGTCAATAGCCATCTGCAGATTTTATTATTGTTCCAAGTTGCTCCTACATTTTCAACTTATTTATACAATTGAGCCGGACACATCATTAATTTGAATATGATGTGGAAGAAACTCAATGTATGAAGGTTTTTGATAACTTTTACCAGTTTCATAGTGATGATTGATGATTTCTTAACAAAAATCAGATGATTTCTTCTCTCAGTGAAAGAAGTCATTAGTGTTAGAAAATAAATAGATAAACAAGTTGTAGAAGAAGTTGATTGTTATTAACATATCCTCCTTCTTTTTCCTCAACAGGTTAGAGGATTTCCCTCAACAGAGTAGAGAGATTTCCTCAAACAGTTAGGAAAATCTCATCTACTATCATGCCCCCGCAAGATGGTGCTCCTATCAAGGAGGCCAATCTTGGACTGATGTAATGCAAAAAATTTATGAGCTAGAGGCTTCGTAAATGAGTCGGCCAATTGATCAGCCGTATGAACATGGGAAACACGAAGTTGATGGCGGACAACTTGATCGCATACAAAGTGAAAGTCGATAGCAATATGTTTCATGCGGGAGTGAAATACCATATTAGCGCATAGATAGGTAGCTCCAATATTATCATAATATATTATAGGGGTGGAATCGATGTTGAGTTCCTGGAGTAGATTCGTGATCCAATTGAGTTCTGCAGTGGTAGCGACAATGACATGGTATTCAGCTTCAGTTGTAGACCGGGCGACTGTCTTTTGCTTCTTAGAACTCCAACTGATTGGATGAGCACCAAGGAAGATAATATACCCCGATGTGGATGTTCTATCATCAAGGTTACTTGCCCAATCAGCATCGGCAAAGGCATGAAGATGAAGTGGAGAGTGTTTACGAAAAAAGAGTCCATGATTTAGGGTCCTTTTAAGATATCGCAGAAGTCTCTTAACTGCAGACCAATGTAGAGTAGATGGTTGCTGCATAAACTGTGATAATTTGTTGACAGCAAATGAGATGTCTGGACGCGTGAGAGCTAAGTATTGTAAAGAGCCAACAACTTGGCGGTATTGAGTGGGTTCCGTAGTAGGACTTCCATCCGATAATTTGAGAGAACCACTAGTAGAGATGGGGGTTGTAACTGCATTTGCATTCTGCATGTTTGTCTTTAATAACAAATCTTGATTGTACTTGCGTTGTGATAAAAGGAGACCGGAAGATGTGAAGGTAGCTTCGACGCCCAGAAAGTAGCTCAAGGGTCCGAGATCCTTAAGAGAGAATCGAGCTACCAACTGTTTGATGAACGCTTGGATGATGATGGGATTGTTGCTTGTGACAATAATATCATCCACATATACCAGAATATACATTGTGTTTCCATGATGATGTCGTAGAAACAACGAAGTGTCAGATTTGGAGTTAAGAAAGCCCACATAAGTCAAAAATGAGCTAAGTTCAATGTACTAAGCTCTCGGAGCCTGACGAAGTCCATAAATGGCTTTCTGAAGTTTGCAAACATGCTGTGGATACTGAGGATGAGTAAAACCGGGGGGTTGTTGCATAAAAACATCTTCGGTTAGAGATCCCTATAGAAATGCATTATTAACATCCAATTGTCGTAATTGCCAACCTTTAGTGGTAACCAGACTTAAGATAAGCCGAATTGTAGTGGGTTTAACAACAGGACTAAACGTCTAAGTGAAATCAACTCCAGGTCGTTGATGAAACCCTTTGGCGACCAAGCGTGCCTTATATCAGGTAACAGAGCCATCTGAGTTCCGCTTAATTCTAAAGACCCACTTACACCCGATGATGTTTTGTGAAGGATGGAAAGGAATGAGATCTCACGTTGAATTATGGAGGAGGGCATTATATTTCTCACTCATGGCAGTACACCAATGCATAGATTTTTGGGCTTGAGTGAAGGTGGTGGGTTCAACGTTGGGGGATGAGGAATTCATGATAGCTTGTAGGTTAAGTACCTAACGAGGTTTAAAAATACCATTCTTAGAGCGAGTGGTCATAGGATGATTGGAGATGACAGGATTGGGAGGTGATGCTGGGTGAGGATCTGTGGCACAAGCTGTGTCAAGTGGAGACACGTTAGGGGCACTTGGGCGAGAAGGAGGTAAAGAGGATGGTTGTGTTTCAGAACATATTGCCCCATCAATTGGGGAAGAGTGGAGTGGAGTAGGAACAGAGGAAACGGGCAAGTGTTAAACTGGAGTGATATAGTGCGGATCAGGAGGGGAGGAAGTAGACGAAGTTATGGGAGGCTCGTCCGATTGGTCCGAAGGTATACTTCAGTGAGATAGTGAAGTGGTCCGTATGACAGGATATGGAAGGGTTTGGAAAGGAAAGTTAGACTCAACAAAGACAACGTGACGTGATATGAAGATTTTGTGAGTGTGGAGATTATAGCAGCGGAAAGCATTATGTTCAAGTGAGTAACCAATAAAGACGCAAGGAGTAGATCGGGATGTTAACTTATGAGAGGCATAGGGACGTAACCAAGGATAACATAAACAACCGAACACTCGGAGTTTACGAAGGTTAGAGGGTTTGTGAAATAGTGTGTCAAAGGGGGACTGGTATTGTAGAACTGGTGTAGGCATTCGATTAATAAGGTAGACAGCAGTTTGAAAGGCTGCTGTCCAAAAAGTTGAAGGCATGGAAGCCTGATGTAGAAGTGTGAGTCCAGTTTCTACTATATGCCGATGTTTACATTCGGCAGAACCAACTAGTTGAGGAGTATGTGGAGGAGACTTGAGGTGTTGAATGCCACAAGCTGAGAGATGGGATGCCAGGGCTTGATATTCACCGCCACCATCAGAGTAGACTGTTTTAATGGTAAACTGAAAATAGTTTTTGACCAACTTCTGGAAAGTGGAAAAAATGCGATAAACGTCATATTTATGGGAAAGAGGATATATCCATGTGTACTTAGAGAAGTGATCTACAAAAATAACATGAAATCGGAACTTATCAAAAGATAAGATTGGAGCAGGATCCCAAACATCAGTATATATAATTTCAAAAGGTTTAGAGGAGGAAATTGAAGATGAACCAAAAGGCTGCCGATGACTCTTATTACTAAGACATGCATCACAATGCATCATAGAATTAGTGGACTTAAAAAGAGGAAGAGAGTGACGAGATAATAATTTCTACTGAATAAAGGACGAGGGATGACCAAGCCGACGATGCCACACATCAATTGGAGCCGCAATAGAAGAATGAACAATGGGCTGGGTTATTCGAGAGGTTGACGACCATTCGTAAATGTTGTCTTTATTCGGGCCTTGGACCAATGATGCCCCCGTGCTCAAGTCCTTAATAAGAAATGAATCAGGAAAGAATTCAATGGAAGTATTGTTATGTTTGCAAAATTGAGAAACAGAAATGAGGTTGCGTTTAATATGAGGGGCGCATAAAACATCATCGAGGGTAAATGTATTAGAGTCAGAATTAAGCGTTGTGGAACCAGTATGAGTTATAGGAAGT